CCCATTGTGGATAATACCGTTTGTAAGAAAGCAGTCGAACTGGCAATCTGTGTTCCAAATGTCGATTTTTGTGTTTTCAAGACAGAAGTGGCATCTAATCCTACTAAGCGGGAGACAAACAGCGCCTCACATGTGTTGCGTCTTCAGCGTTTGCTGTGCTTTCCCAATGAAAGAATGCACTTTTAGGCAGTTTCAACTTCTCACTTTTTACCTGCCTGGATATCCGGACTCGGTTCGAACGCACGGAGCCCGCGATTGTTATTGCATCAGCAGTGAGCATATCCGCCGTGGATCGTGGAACCGATTTGAATGAATGCAGGCTGGTAGGATCAGAAGCCTAAGGTTCAGTGCAATAAATTTGAAACTGTGCACATTATCAGTAAAATCAAAGAACCTATTTTTTCTGCCATTTTTCATGAAATCGTTTCTACCACGGGGTAGGAAAAGGAATAGAGGCCAGGTTGAAATGTAATAGACCGATATCGCACATAGAAATTCAGTGATGGTATTACAGAAAGTTTGCCCAGGAACTTAAGAAATTCCAGTTAAATTGGCGCTCTCAGATTTCAAGCTCTTACGTCAAAGCTATGTTAGATTGTTTGTATTCTGAATTCCTGAACACGAAGTGCAGGAAAGACAACAAGGTTGTGAACGTTGGGTAGCTTTCACCATTCTGGTTTACGTTCTCACAAATATTCCACAGAAAAATCTCCCAGTCTGAAAAAGGCATATACTACCGATCACTAATATGGCATGCCTCAGTTCCTGGACTAAAGTCATTGTTTTCCAATGGTTGTGGAGCGTGACATAGCAGGAGACTGGTTTTACTTCATTCCTCGGTCTAATGATTCAGCTATGGTTACTCCTGAACAATCCCAGTTGTAGGACGTTTGGCCTAAAAGGACATGGTCAGGAGCCTTAAGCTCCCGTAATGTTCACAAATGCTAGTGGACTAAGTGTACCGTGGTCGTCAAAGCCGCCCATCAAGTTCCCACGCGAAATCTCAGATAAATGACAAACAAAAATAGCACCATCTTATCGCGCGCACTGAGGACGTCTCCATTCGAGTGCTTTGGAACCATACAACCAGCCGCTTGACCTACCTTAAAAAGGTGTACTGTTTGTCTGCTTTTGTCAATCGTAAACAGGCAATGCGCAACTCATTATCAACGGCACGTGCGTCCTCAAAATCAGTCCATATATCCGCAGGGCAGACCATAACATTTCTAGCTAGCACTGTTGAGAGCTTTCTATAGACCACAAAGACAACCAAAGGAGGTCGTGATATCCGAATTTAAACAAGCGAAAGAGGTTTCGACTCACGGGAACTATTCCAAGCATTTAAATGCGATGGAAATGTTTGTGATAACCAACAAAGAGCACTGGACAGCTGTTTCGTCCTGTTTCGGACTCGTCAGCAGTGCGTACTTTTTGTGTCCCTGTCAGGACTCGAACCGTGATCAGTCGGGTCGGGACTTCAAACCCTTACCCCTGGGCTACACGGCCGACGGTTATCACCTTGTGCGAATGGCTCAATCAATTTAGAGTATCAAGCTTGGATTAGCCCATTCGATTGTTCAGAGGCACCGGGCACTCTTGATGGTCTTGGGTGTGGGTTTCATACCTTGGGAGATCGTTAATTCGACTCATGGGAATTATTCCAAGCATTCTTTAAAACAAATTAGGCTTGCTATGATACTCCTATGCGGTTAAAGCAGCACGCTGGGCGTTTTATTGAAAACGGTTGCATAATCTATGGGTGAAACCATTTGAGGATGTCTTGTGAAGGCGTACGGAGTTTGTTTAAAACTATCTCAACGGAAAGTGTTTGCCTTGAAAGTCGAAACGGTAGTTTGAGTTTCAAAGTTTCCAATTTCTTCTCGGTGGATTGAAAAAATGATTTGACCATTAATGACAATAATGTTTATGAAAATCTAAACTCCTGTTCGGGAATAAACGAACTAACCCCATGAATGAGCGCGGTTATGAATAACTTTGTTAGTTTACCCCAATAAAGGGACTATTTCGCACCCGAATGGTATTCATTTCCTCAAATCGATATTTTTCAAGCACACCAAAACTCAATTCGTTGCACTCAATCAAATCCACCCTATCCTGCTTCTCGAAATTTACCTGCAACCTTCTTGAAGGTGTAACGTTTTTGGAGTATTGGAAACGAAAAAATGCCAAATTGGCTCATCGTTGGGACGTGCTGGACTATGAGGTCGAGGAGGAACGACCTCGGCCGCAGTACACGGCTCTGTGTTCGGATTTCGCGAAAAACCCCGTCACCGGTGCACTGGAACCCCACTTTCCCGAACGACTTCGAATGGCTCGAATCATTGCCGGCTTGATATGCATACTACTTATGGTTAGTCAGTCTCCTTCTGGAAACCTTTCCACCACTGGGCTGTGTAATATCTGCGTTTGCGAACTTGTATTTTATATTCACAGTATGTAACCATTAGCATGCATGGATAATTTTCATTTGGTTATCAAAACCGCAGTTTAATGTAAACGAGTTCGTTTTCGTAACTTCGTCTTCAGATAGTTACAGTTACATGCATGTTCATAAACAAAGTACGTTGAAATATCACTTAGTGGGCAAATTGGAATCACGATGTGTAATTTGAGTGTTTTACGCTTTTAGGGTACTAATGGTTTCCAGGAAAACGCGATAAAAATATGTGTGATGACCGACAAAGCGCATTGGACAGCTGTTTCATCCTGTTCGGGACTTGTCAACAGTGCGTACGTATTGTGTCCTTGTCAGGACTCAAACCATGGACTTTCAGTTTGGGACTTCAAACCCTTACCTCTGAGCTACACGGTCCACGGTCATCACCTTGTGCGAATAACTCTATCAATTTCACGGTATCAAGCTTGGATTAGCTCATTTGATTTTTCAGAAGCACCGGACACTCTTGATGGTCTGTGGTGTGGGTTTCACTCCGCGGGAGATCCTCAACTCCGCACCAGTTGAAATCTAAACTTAATACTGTAAGAAACTGTTTTCTTTCAATAAAGGAAATTTACTTTTTCGAAGCAAATCATCTATCTCGACCTTTGCAAATAGCGTCGGATATACAAAAATAAATTGTAACGTCAGAGGTCAAACAGAACGAAGGGCACATTTGTTTATATCAAGGAACAAATTGCAATCGCTTAGTGTTATTCGTTGACTCGTCAAAACGGTCAAGGCTTCCGGATGAATTGCTCATTGCCTGTTTTCGGTTATGTATACATACGCCTTGAACAATATCGATCTGTTCTCAAACGTGAAGTCCGTGGAACAACCAAAACATCAACGTGAACCACAACTTATCGAATAATTATGCAATTTCATGTGAGTAATGGAGTATTTGATTCAATTTCAAAGGTGAATTCGTTGTGTATATAGAAAATGTAGCGTGAACTGAAAAGCTGGGAGGAGGCACTGGACAGCTATTTCCATTTAGTTGGGTCTCATCAACAGTGCGAATCCATCGACCCAACTGGGGATNTCGAACCTCATGGGCAGAACACAAGCATACTACTTGGTCACGGGGTAGCTGATCAGACCGTTTTCCATGCTTTCGTGTAAATGAAAAACAAAACACGGTGGTGTAAGGGGTAGCATGCTTGCGTTCTGCCTATGAGATCTTGGGTTCGATCCCTAGTTAGATGAATTCGCACTACTGATGAGACCCAACCAGTTTTAAGTAGTCCAGTACTTTCTAGCTTTTCAGTTCACGCTTCATTTGATATAAACACGATGAATTCCCATTTGAAATTATAGAATTATTATGCCTAATTGTTCACCGTGTAATTTTCCCCGTATTTCCTTGAAGATTATGAGGAATATAGACCATAATTTGTAGCGTACATCTACGAATAAAGCCCCTCTCCCAAAAAACAAAACAAAACCCGTCGCATTTTAAAAAAATGATGGGGAATTCCATTTCTTATCATCATTCAAATTTTCTGTAACTGTCTGTCTCCCCGACACCTACGCGTTATGTTAGATGGTGCTTGTCATCGTTTTCATCGTGGCCGTGATAATCTATCGACTGCTCATCATGGTCCCTCTATTCAAAAATGAACTACTCCGACCTAACGCGGGTATCTACGCCAATATGTCCGCCGCAATGGTCAATCTTGTGCTCATTATGTGTCTGGGCAAGGTGTACGAAAAACTGGCCTACAAAATGACCCAATGGGGTAAGTATGTGAACCATTCACTGGGTGAACTGGGTAAGTAAAAATATGAAAAACTGGACAGTTGTGTATTTTTTTAAAGTTTCTAGCTTTTCGTGGTGGAACTAGATCAGAGGATGCTCGTTATACCCCACTGAACATTTTACCTCCCAACGATAGCTTTGTTCCTTTGCACTATCGATTTCGTTTGAAGGAAATGAATCAGTGGACTCTTGGCACTGATTGCACATTTTGAAGAAACTAACCACGAATTGCCCTTGCTAAAAATTGCCCCACGACAATATTCGTTTGAAACAAAGGCGAGGTGTTTGCTACTGCACTAAACCTACGTCTGTGACTGCAAGCGTGACCCACAGGTGAGTACCTGTTTCAAGTCAATTAGGAACCACATAATTCTGTCAGAAATATTGAGATGTAATCCCGGAGGACCGAAATACGAGATCGCATTGGGTCTATTTCAACTGGCCTATTTTTTCTTCCGATTCCATGTCTATTCAGATGGGCCATTGTTCGATAACTATATAAGAATTGGCACGGGTATCTTCTGTACAGCAACCGTTTTCTTCGCCCCTGGTACACGAAAGTCGCTAGACCACCTCTGAAGAGGAGGCAGAGAAATAATTGATGGCTTGGCTAATCAGCATCAAAAATGGCTCTGTGAAATTGGTGTGCCTCAATCTTTCACGCCTCATGGTTCCCTTCATTTACTTGACTTACTTACTGTTATGATGAAAGGATTCAAGTAAAGGCATAGTCCGAAACTATGGTACCACAATCAGACTAAGTGCATGGCTTACAGCTTATTTCGTTATATTAATCAAAGTCAAAGTTTTATTATGCAAATTACTTACAGATATCCACATTGGATATTTACACAGTTGAATCGGTTCTCGGCGAAAAAGAATCACATAAAGTTCCAATCTGAAGATAACTGAGAATGTAGTCTTTAACGAATTTGCGTTTGTTTTTAGCTGTATAAGAATGTGATGTGTACCAGGGTTACATCGAATCTCTGCTTGAAAGATTCAGTAGTTGGTGCACAAACGATCTGAGATGGAAGGGTGTTCCAAGTACTACATACTCTGACTGTAAAAGATCTGCGCGGGCATTCCTATCGACACTTTGGAGTTAGTAACTTCAAATGGTGTCTCCTAAGATGTACGTTGTTCGATAACATGAGCAACAGCCGACATGTATATTTTGGGTTCTGCAGTACTTGTTACGCCAAAATCAGGTCTCCCCGAATTCTGCGTTATTGGGCAGAATATATATGTAATCTCTCCTCGTAGGTGAGGTAATGCAATCCCTTACCCATCCTGGTGTTCATCCTTTGTGACGCAACCATGGACTTCAAGTATGGACGGTGTACTCTATGTACAGTCAAATGTACACGGATAGCAAACGTCGGAACAGTGCTGATTCAAACTGATCAAAGACTCGGGAAAAAATCCGAAATTCCTTACATCAGAGGACAAAGCCTTAGTGCAATGGATGGAGCATCTTAAGTCCTCTTGAACAACAATACCTAATTCCTTTTCACTTGAGATATGCGGAAGCTGCTGATTCCCGAGGAAATACGAGAATCTACTCTTGTGACGTAGGGATAGGGCTTCGCATTTAGAAACATTAAGTTCATTGTCATTTTCCTTAGACTATTGATAAACTGCGTTAGCTGTTTCTTGAAGTGCTAGAGAGCCATCGGCGTTGGTTACTGCATTCCACATTTTGGCGTGGTTTGCAAACAGTATTGTTCTTGTATCTAAGACATTTGTTAAATCATTTATGAATGCGAGGTACAGACAGGAACCGTGTACAGACGCTTNCGCTTGTGGAACACCGCGGGTGATTTTGATAGATCCGCATATGGAATCAGAAACACGAACTGATATGGTCCGTTGTCGGAGGAATGCTCTAATTCAATCAAACACGAAATCTCGAATGCCCTAACCGTAGAGTTTCTGTAACAAAATTTGGTAATTTACCTGACAAACGCTTTCGAGAAGTCCAGATAAATCACATCCACCGCATCCCCTTCGCCAAATGTTGTATTCCATTGGTCTCGAGAACAAGAAGCAGGTTGGTGGGGGACGATCGCGTTTTCTGGGTAGCTTCATTTTGTTTTTGCATTCTTACGGCAGCATGCTTAGTGCCAAGAATGGCATTTTGAAATAACCGTTCAGTTCCTGAATTTGATATGTTGCATAAAGCGATGAGAATTCTCCCAAACAGTCAGTTAAGGCCATCGCGTATTAGTGAAAAAAGAGAAAAGAAGACATTTTTACATTAAAATTGAGAAATCGGTAAGTGGTAAAACAAATCCGGAGATAAGTGCCTAATTATTGTTGACAACTTTTTTATTAAAAACAAAATCAAAATTTGGGACTTATCGAAAGATATTTGTCATAGAGACCGTACGGGAATCTAGGCAAATAAAAACTGACAGATAGATAGGTGATGGGAAGGTTATACTCAAATCAAATTGTGCCGGACGGATCCGAGCACCAACCGAACATTGGGAAAATCAACCGGGGGTAGGGGGCGGTGAAGCATCCCACGGATCGTATTGCACAGACTGTCGCGTAATCTACAGTACTGACCGATTGTTATGCACTAACATGTTTTCTCTATGATCACATGGAGTTTCATTATACTTATCACCTGTATTAATGCTTTAGGTATGGTATTATATATATATATGTAGGTATTTTATATCTTGTCTACTTCAATCTACGTAGTTTCTAGGCTGCATGAGTGTCAATTAAACGTGCCTGACCTTGAGTGCCAAGATTAAATGATCTCAAAATGAAACCACAAACGTTATCAAGTATGAAAACGCAATATTTTCTAATAAGAATGGCTCAAGAATTATCCTAAATTATTTCCATAAACCCTTACCATCTCGGTTCTTTGTTATGAGGCATCATTCTGTCTAATACATAATTCATTATAGCAAGTCTATTGGATAACCAAATGAAATTCTATCACAACCCAGATAAATTACATTAATTAAAGTGTAATAATATTAATCTTTGTTTGATATTTCACTCAGTCAATTAAAGAAATACCACTTTAATCAAAGTCAACCTTGAAATCAAGGTCATTTTTTTGTACAGCTTTGAATGTTCGTATTGTCGTCACCATATTGAAGCAATCAGGCCTTAAAACCAAAAGTTCCCTTTCTCTCAGCGAATGGGACAGAAACAGAATTATACGAGCATCTGGGCAGGGATAAAATATAGTCAGCCGTGTCGGTGGACATCAGTCAAGGGCACCATGAATACTGGAAAATATGCATCAGCCATGAAGAATATTCTTCCAGAATTTCATGAAAAAAATCGTTTTGGAATCTTATTGTTTTTCAGGACAAGTATTCGTGTCATGTTTCGCGAGAGGTTAGTAAATTCATTTGGTTAAAGATTCTGGTTCACCTATTATTTGCTTTTAGACTTCAGAAAAGATGCGTGACTCTAAGGTCCAGTTCATGCAACTTCCCCCTAATAGCCCGGATCTCAATTTGATTGAAAATCTGTTTTGTGTTTCGAGGAGAGATGTCAATGTACTACCTGTACATTGGACATTGGAGGCAAAAATGCGATACGTAATGGACAATAAAATAGAAAATGACTTCATAACAAAGTTGGTGGATTCGATGCTGAAGAGACTGGAAAAAGTCATAAAGATTGAAGACAGAGCGATTGACCATTAGTGTACACAAACTTTACACCTTACTTATTATCAATGTTAATTTGTTGTTGATAAAATCTGTTCCATTCTCTAGTTACCTCTGAACTCATCATGGTTTAGGTCAACCACTACTGACGAAATGGGGATATCCGCTACCTTCGGAACCATTCTGTCTGCTGAGTATAAACGAATCAGAAAATTCATGTCTATAAAAACTCACCCCAAGGCTTGTTTATTATTATTTAGAAAAAAATCTACTTTATTATAAATACTGTTGCCTATACGAACCGATTAGTGTTTGACAGGGACCTGTTGCTTCAGTTTCGATGATACCTGTCCTCTCACTATACTCGATCTAAAACGCTGCTCCCGCTCCCAGGCTGATATCTAAGTTCAGAATGTGAAGTGATTTAAGAAAATACTCCTCTCAAAGTAAAAATATCCAAGTATGTAAGTAAGAAAGTAAGTAAGTGAAACATCCAAGCGTAGGCGTCGTCCGTGCGTGGGTTCGAATCCCACTGAGGCTACTGAACGTTTCACAGTTGCAACAAAACACATCACTCTGCAAAATAACAAAATAAACATTTAGATTACGGCGCACATTACCCTGGGCAAATCTTTCAGCAAATCGAGTTTTGATATCCAGATCGTCAATGGTAACATAGACACAGCGATATGACATCAGTGCCGACTGAGGAAGTCACGATGTCCGTGACTGAACACACAAACGTGGACCGCATCTGCCGCACAGAAATGCCAAACAAAATTAAAAAGGGAAATGACAATACCTGATAACATCATTTCCGTTTTTTTGCAGATACCGTTCATCCACGAAAGCAGCCGTAAATGCTTGATTTAGGAAATGAAACAATCAGGCAACTTCACGACGGACACAAACAAACGGAGAATTGTCGTCCAAGTCCCATTATTATCGGAGGTTACAAATAAATGTATCGATCACAAATTTATTGATCCTCCAATCCTGTTGTGGTAAATATCGGGTAATTTCTCTGATTCGCATGTTGGCGACTTTGATTGACTCAAGTTTGGCTCACTTTGTCTCAAAAACAATGCTTTCTGGTGTCAGTCGATGTAAATGGTGGATTCCGTTTTACCGTGAAATCATGGGTTAGTTTGAAACATGTGCACAAATACCCCAGCTTCCCAACATCTGCTCCGTATGAGAACGCATATTTCACTCACCCACACCGGGAACTGTTTGAAATGTCATGTATCTGCGTGATACTACAAAACCTGGAACGTGGTGTCCTCTGAATTGCGCGCGGATACTATTTGGATCTTCTGGTGACGAATTGACAGACTGTCTGATGATCACTGATAGCCATCGAGATGAGGTACAACTTTGTAACAAATCATGAGTTGAACTGAATGGATGATTTTCCTGCCGCGATGTCTATCCAACTGACGCTGCTTGACTGTTCTCGCTTACATCAAACATGCCTAGACTCCGAGCGGTCAATTTTAGTGGCTAGAGCCGGCTCTCAAA